TCCATGTGTGGATTGATCCAGGGGTGAGAATTTGCATCCATGTTTTAGCTTTTAAGCCCAAGGAGTGAGGGAACAACCTCATTCTCATGCTCTCCTCTGTTACACCCTCAGCTTTAAAATTATCACAAATATCTTGGAATGTTGTGAGGTGTGTGTAAGGATCTTCTGTAGGGAGTCCATTCAAGACCCCTGTTTCCCTAATCATGTGGAACATGATAGGTTTTAGTTCAAAATTTGGTGCTACAGGGGGAAGGATTACTCCCCTATCTGGTCTGTTCCTGAAAGGAGCAGCCAAAGTTCTGAAGTTCTGTTCAGGGGGAACCTCTTCATTGTTATTATTGTGATCAGCTATGTTTTCAGGAAATTCTTCCCTGAGGTTCCTTCTTCTCCTATGGAGTGTACGTTCTGGCTCTGGATCAAAGAGAAACTCAAGTACTTCAATGGAGTGGTCAGAGTTTGTTTCAAACTCTTCACTCATAAACCAATAGCACATGCTATATATATGCACAACAGATTCAGTGATAAAGAGAAAAAAATAAAAGTAAAGTCAGATATACAGTATATGTGTTAGAAAACAATGATAAGAACAACAGTTAGTGTTTCTGTCCCTGGCAACGGCGCCAAAAACTTGTTGGGTGGTTTGCTGATGGTGAAAAAATATAAGTTTTGATAGGGGACGTTCCTCTGTTCTTGCAGAACACAGATTCATCCCTTAGTTCCAACCCAAGTGCGCAAGTGCACGCATCAAGTAATAAAGGGAGTATTAATGCCCAAATTATTGTTCCCACGAGGATAGAGTGCTAATTATTGTTTTAACACTGTTTATTAAGAATGAAAATGAGAAGAAAAGTTAGTAAATGAACTGTTTGGTCAAACGTTCCCTACTGTCTTGACAACGTTCCTCAGGAACAGTAGGTTCAATCTGATGGCAAACAGTTGCTCGCTGCGTTATGTATGTGATCCTTCCTGTTTAGAAGAAGGTGAGATAATAATCATTGGAGTTTTTTATAAGTACTAAATAAAATAAAAACTACTAAAACAGAAATAACTATAATCAAGAGACAACAGGGTGGTGGTTAAAACAGTTTAACAGAAGGAACGGATTCACTGCTTCACTCTTAAAGGGGTTGTTTTCTCTGCTCAAGACTTAGCACATTTTGGCTTTGTCCCAGTTTCTTTGCCTGCCAACTCTGATTCCTCAGCTCATGGTCTAGATGGCTCACAAGTTTCCATATTCCTACGGCTCCCTTGACTCCTACAGGTACTTAGTTCAGAACCTTAAAATGGACGAGTTGGCCCCTTATTCCTACGGTGACCAGTAGCGTTTTTGCCATGACATCTACCTTCCCCCAATGGCTAAGCTGTCTGAAATCCCTTCCTTATGGAAGTTCATTTCTCAGTATGTACCCAATTTCCATTGGCGCACAATGAATATAGCTTACTTAGCCAAAGAAATACAAAAAGCTTCGGTCAAGAGTTTTGAAAATAGTTCTTTAAGAGTTTCACAGTTTACCCATTCCACAGATAGTTCAGCTCATGGCTGGTAGTTTAAACATAATTATTCTCAACTGAGATCACATAGACCTGAGATTCAGTCAAGAGATAACGATTGGAACGAAGAGAAAACCACTTATATTAATTTAAAAGATAGTTTACAAAGAGAAACATAAAATGGAGAAAGATGGGTATTTGCTCGTGAGGAGTCTTGATGGTTGTTTACAGAGAAGAGAAGAGGGATTGTCACTTAACTACAGTTACAACTTAAAATTAAACTAAGTTACTAACTACTACTAAGTGATCTCTTCTTTTCGGACTACAAACCCTCCAGGATTCGATGATGTTTTTGTGTGAGGGTGGTCCTATTTATAGCTGGAAGAGGAGTGGCAAGACTGTAATTCCTTTGGAGCTAGTTGCTTGAATGAGGGGACGGGACTGTGGCAGCAGAGTGTGAAGTTTGCGTGAATTGCTGAATGGAACAGGATTTGGTGATGATTAGCCGTTGTTTGCAGACCTTCCCATGTTTTGCTTCTGTTTTCAGCCAATGAGAACTCTTGATTCTCTGCTCTTCACGTTTCCAGCTGCTCAGTTGGTGCACCGCCTTGCTTTTTAGAAGTCTTTAACTCTACGTTACCTGCAAAGTGTACAAAAGCATTAAATGAATGGAGCAGGTGCATTAAATGCGTCTCAGTTCGTTCCCCTTTTAATATATTTTAAAGGAATACGTTACCATCCGTTCTCCCACTGTGTTTTTGTCACAAATGTGTAAAACAAGTTATTTTCATGCTGAAGTTGCTCATCAGATGAGGGAACGTATGGTGTTTTGCCATCAAAATGGGCTTAGATGGGAACGAATTTACGTCCCATCATTAGGATAATTGGATAACTATCCTTTAAGGGATCCTTGGGCAGGTGGTTAGCATATGGAAATATTCCGTAACAGATCCTAATCGTTGTTTTTTGCCAATCAACAATTATAATTTATTGGGTCAATTAATTAGTAATTCATAATAAATTATAATCATTAATTGACGAAAATCAACGGTTAAGATATAAAATGACACAAAGTTATATATTTTAAAAGGACAAATGTTTTTCCCATAAAAGATATCAAAGAAGTAATTGATGCAAGAATAAAAAAGTTAAAGGATAGAGAGATTGCAAACTAAGATTTATCTAGTCACCAGACTCACCACCCACTTAAGACCTACATTCAGATTAAAGTCGCTCGATCAAATTTTTCACTGATGCTCAAGTTTATGGGTGCTTGGAAACCATGAGTAACCCCTCTGACACGTAAAGAAGCATAATAGTATACTTAATGTGCATGTGTCATGCCGTAGACTTATTTAGCAGCTCAGAGTTACGCCCCACCTATCTTAACCAATGTAGGAATGACATGAACGAGCTTCCAGTCAAGTCTTAACTTGATAGCCTGCCCTGAGGCATCCAAAAAACAAGGTACACACCATGAGCACCTCACCAACATGCCAATCAAAAGGCAATTCAATGAAACTGTCATACAAAGGCAGTTACATGATCTCACAAGCAGGACATGTCGTGTGCATCATCTTTTTCCATACATTCAATATATAATCATCTAAATACTGATTTGAGCGTCAGAGTGCATTGAATGTGTAACCCTTTCATGTTCGAGTCACAACATCTTGATTGAAGCACATCCCCAACTCGAGATATCATCCTACTAGAAGATTCAATTCCTCATCTGAACATGAGATCAACATCAACGGTCTTCAATTTGGAGCAGGCTCAATTACGTATGATTAGACTCGATTTATACTAGTGTGATCAAACTATTTATTTAGAATTTAGAAAATGAGTTTTGATAAGAGTTACAAGTAGAAAAGATTTTAAAATAATGAAAACATTGTTAATAGTACAAGCGTATTAGTGGTGGTGGTAAAGGAAGGAGGGAAGGGTTAAGGTGGACATTCGCCACCTCCCCCAAACCCCTACAACCCTTCAGTTGTGAGTACAATTTTTATTTTATATTTTATACAAATAATTGTAGTTAAACCCTTTTTGAAGCTCATATAAATTTTTAATTATGAGTATCATCTCTTATTTTTTATCATGCAAATAATTATAATTTTAAAAAAATACATATTTCAATTTTACCTCTTCTATAAAATTTTCTGTCTCCGCATTGAAATTCGGTGAAAATATGAAAATTTGATCTATGATGACATAGGATTAGAAGCTCATATAATATTTAAGACTTTGTTAACGTGCTTCATCCTTATAGCAGGATTCCTTTAGTATAGTATCCCACCACTCTAAAAGACATATTTATATGGAATAAGTATATAAAATAATTTCACATTTGTACCTTACCCATAAGTACCAAAGTAATTAACTTACTACCCAGCAAACAGTACCTAAAACAATTTATATTGGTACAATATAAGTTACCACACAGGACTGTAATTTAGATTATGATGCTTTACACTTTTAGTACGTGTTTAAATTAACTTATATTTTATTAAAAAAATTTATAATAAAAATTTATTATGAGAACTCTAAGAAAAATATTCTCTTAAAAATAATTAAAACCAATCATTCCTTTAATAATTCGCCGTTATATTTTTATCATCTAATAAACTCTTATGATCAAGATTTAAATTTTTTCAAATCGCACACATTGATCCATTTCCCTATTGTAATATTGTATTGTCAATGATGGGTCCTTTTAAACCAGCCTTTCCATCCAGCAAATCTGTCTCATCCGAAGGAATGATTCCCCTGTACAGTGTGAACATTTAAATTTCAAATGTGATACTAACGCCAATTCATTGCAATTCCCTACACCAATATTGCGGAAACTGAACTTCCCTAAAGCAACGTAGAAATTCAAGCTCTTCCTACCACTATATGTGATTAAAGTATTTATAGTCGAAGGTTGAAAACAACATAAACGTACCAAAAACCATCCTGCATATTAAATTATCAATCAAATCAACCATGTATATGACATTAAACAAGTTCACAATGTCAATACTGACACTAAAAATGCATAACAGTAACACAATTTCTACCCCAACTCAATAATTTCAAGAACATCGAGAAAGAAAAGGCCGAATCTGAAGTGCCACTCCTACTGATTCAAACACCTACCCTTGGTTAGTTTGTAGTCTTGCAATGTTGGAATTTAGTATCCGAATATATGAATTTAAACCAAACCTTTCATCATCCAACATTAAGCGTGAAAATTTAAATTTCAAATGTGAGACACTGACAAGTGACACCAATTTGATTTCAATTTCTTTCCCTCTAAACAGCTGAAACTAAAAATCATAAAAACAAGGCAAAAACTCAACATGCTCATACCCAATATTTGTGATCGTTCATTTATAGCTGAAAAAAATTGAATACAAGAACGAGCTCCCCACATGAACAACCAAATCAACATATATATCATCATGAGCATATATATGACAATAAAGAAGGAAATTGGCAATTTCAAAACTGAAACTAGAAAAACGTACCAGAAAATAACAAAATTCTTCCCCAACCCAAAAGTAATTTATAAACAATATGGTAGAAACAAAGGTACGATTTTTGCAATGTCAACGGATTCAAGCACCATTAGTAGTGGCTCCTTTCAACGCTTTCTTCAATTCCTCACTTGCATCACCCTCCGTCGATTTTCCTGAAAAAACATTAAAATCCGACGTCGTTTTATTCTTCTCATTCTTTCTCACATTAGGGTTCTTTCCTATGCCTCCATTCCACTTCTGCATCTCTGAACCTCCACCTCCGGCCATTTCTCGCCGGAGATCCTCAACGGCGTTTCTCAGCAACCCGTTCTCAGCTTGCAGAACCTCCATCTGCCTCTTCACCGCGAAACACGCCTCCGCCACGTCGCTACCTGCCGGAAAACCCAGATCCGATCCCTTTCCGGCAACACCCTTCTCCTTCTTCGAATCGCCGCAGTCCATCATGTGTTCCACAGAAACCTTATCCATCACCAGAAACGGAATCTTCTGGAACGCACTACTCTTCATCTCCGCCGGAACCCTAATTCCCCACCGGAAATTCACCGCGACCTTTCCCCTCAGCGGAAGAGTCGTCCTCGCCGCCACCTCCGTGCCGGAGAACAAACTCGAGAACGCGCCGGCTGCGGGGGAGTCATTTCCAAAGATCGGGACCTTATCAACCATATCGACCGAAACGACGTCGTCTTCAAAGCCACCAGCACCAACACCGTTGCGGGACCCACTCACTTTCTTATCGAAAATCGAAGACTGCGTCTTCTTAAACGAGAAATCACCAAATCGAGGCTTGAAGTGAAGCATGAAGAGAGGGCCACCGCTGTTGTTACGAGGTAGCAAGTTGAACTCGCAACTCATGAGCATGGAACTGGAGGAAGGGGAACCGAAGGGTCCGGTTCCTGTTTTAACGACTAAGGAAAAGGGGTTATTGGAGTCGTTGGGTCGGTAAGCGAGTTTAAGGGAGGGTCCTGATTCGAAGAAAGTGGCGAGGTTGAGAGTGAGTTCCTTGGAGTCACCGGCTACGACGCCGGATTGAAAGGGCATGCCCAATATGCTTAATGGGACTTTAGCCCTCAACAGTGGCTTCTTGTGTTCCTCACGGAACTTGAGTGAAGCTTTCATTGTTTTGCTAAAAAATTATTGGGATTTTCATTGAATGTCGGAGACAAGTTTGGGATTATTTGCGGAGATTCTGCTAAATCTGTTCATTTGGGCTGTGTTAGTGTAACGGAGCAAATTTTTAAAGGGTAATAGAACCATCATGTCACAGGATAAATGTTGCATCACGTCAGTGACACAATATTTGTGGGGCCCACCGATATAAATTTTTTTTGAAAAAAAACAACTTAATAAAAAAATATGTATGTGACTGCAGGAATAAAAATGGGATTCCTGTAACATGACTACCGCAAAGCCCATTTTTAAATTTATCAAATGCTCGATATTTGTGATTTTAAATGGGGGTAGGATATTCTTACACCAGTGTAAAAGTTATAAGTCTTACACTCAATCTTAATCATTAATTCACTTGTATCCAATGACTTATATTACTAAAAAGTTAGGGCCCTTAGATATAAATGAGATCAATGGTCAAGATTGAGAGTGTAACTTACATTGGTGTAAAATGATCCTGACCCTTTTAAATGACATAAGTTATGTCATTTCAGGAGAGAGATAGACACAGAAAAATAGAAATCATGAGAGAAAGTGAGTGATTTTTTTTAATTTAAAATTTAAATAATCTTATGTTATTTAAAATGACAAACACTTTTTCCTTTATTCAAATAATATAATTATTTAATGTACAAATATAAAAAAGAGCTTTTTATTTGAGTTTTATTTTCATCTCACGTCTATTTTTTCTTTCATATTTTTTTTAAAAAAAAACTTGTAAAATGTGTTTCAATAACTACATTTTTTAACTAAAATTAATTGAGTAATACTAAATGTACATTTATATGGCCACTTAATTTAACGACATCAATGATTAATACGAGAATGTATATACAAATATATATATATATATATATATATATATATATATATATATGAGATAGATTATATTTATTATATTTTTTTTCTTATTCTTTCTTAGGAGTGTATTGGATTAGAATTTCAAAGATTTTTTTGAGATAATTTTTTTTATAGATTTTAAGAGACTATCTAGAATTGGAATGACTTTAAATACTTTTTAAAAGATATTTTTTACAATTAAGATTTCATAAGATTAGATTTTAAAAAAATTTAATAGAATTTATAAGATTTGAAAGAACAATATGGATTTATAAGATTTTAAAAAATCATATAAATTTTTAACAAGCATTCAAAATTACAAGAGTCAATAAAAAAAATAACAAAGAAATGCAATGATATTAATAAAAAAAGTAAAACTTAATATAATTTTTTCAATCACTAAAATTCATGATAAAATTCGGTTTAAGATTTTTTGCAATTGATCTTGTAAATCTTGGATTTTTGTTCTGTGTGATGAGAGTTTTCTAAACATATATCATATGCATGTTTTCATTGAGTATTCCAAAAAAAAAAATTTGAATATGAATTTTTAGGTTTTATTACACAAAAGTTAAAAAATTTCTCAAATTATTTTCAATCGATACATTGAAATCTTAAATTGCTTTGTGACTTTTAAAAAACGAGTTTTTAGTGATCTATTGACATAAAAATTGTTTGAAATCGTTTGCTATAGCTAGGGGTGAAAGTGGGCTGAGCTGGGCCAAGCTTTGCCCCAAAAAGCCCAAGCCTACGCCAAAAATTTTTAATTTGGCCTGGCCTAAGCCTAGTACGGGTCTAACTGTTTGCCTGGCTTGACCTGTTTATAAAAAAACAAGGTCTGGCCTAGTTCGTTAGCCTGTTAATTTTTAACTTCCAAGCAGAACCATGAATCAACTTTACAAAATACTCAAATTCTGTTGCTAAACCAAAAATCATAATTTCAACGTCCAAACATAATCATGAATCACAACAAAACTTATACAATATGCATTTAAGTCATTTTCAAAAGCAAAATGTTCAAACTAAATAACATATATTTCATCAGATCTAACAAACAAATCTATACTATGTAAATTAAAATAACTATATGAATCCAACAAACACATCATGATGTTTGTAGTAAGTATAACATCTCCCAAAAATCTTTTAATATATTCATATATACAATCTAACATGTTGAGATGTTGGTATTCCTCCTATATAAGAAATAAAGTCAGATTTCTATTAAAATATAATCGAATATAATTAAGTTATAAATAATTACAATTGATTAAATTTATATCTTTTATTTTTTCTTCAAGGCATACTTTCTCCATTTTATTTTATTTAAAATAAGTAGTACAATATAGGCCGATCTGTAGGCGTATAGGTCAGGCCTTATGAAAGTGGGCCTACGGTCTTTTTATTAAACAAGTTTTTTCAAGGCCCAAACCCGGCCTATTTTACGAAATATACTAGGTCAGGTCTGGCCTGACGTAGGCCGAGTCGTAGGCCCCTGCCTAGTTTCACCCCTACCTATAGTAGAGGAATTTCGTTCATGAATGTCTTGTTACTAAACATAGGGTTCATATTATAAAAGTTTCAATATTTCTTTAAATCGATATTGTTTCATTGATGTAAAATAAAAATTAGTTTGGGGGATTTTTGTTCCTTTGTTGCTTTTCCACAGTTTTATGTTATTTTTAATACAAAAATTACATATTTTTATGCCAAGAAAAATGCGACCAGTATTTTGAAAAATCATTTTTAAACTTCCAAAAACTCTTTAAAATTGCTCAAAAATCAGCTATTTTTGTGATGGATTATATTAAAATATTGTTGGGTTGTTGTTTTTGAGCTATTTTGTGATGAAAATCTCTAAAAAATATGCCATTTTTGACTTTTGACGAAGATCCCATGGCGGAACCTGGTTTCGAGCAGGTCGACCGGCCAAAGAAAGAAGAAGACATTGCAATAGAGAAAACTCAAGAATTCCTAAGGGTTAGGATGAGATTGTTAGAGAAGCATACTATTTATATTTTTTAGTAAAAAGTCTCACGAAATCCACATAAATAGAAAATCCATTAAAATCGTTAGATTTTTGAATACTACAATATTGTTTTTTCTTTGTTTAAAATCCTTTATTTACAAAAAAAAAAAAAAAAATCCTTATTGAATACCAACGGATTTGGATGGACTCTAAAATAATCTTTTAAAATCCTAATCGAATACCACATGACTTTTTTCATTCCTTTAAAATCCTAATTGAATACCAATAAATTTTTTTATTCAAAAATAATCCATCAAAAGATCTCAATCCTATACATCCTTTTAATGTCATTTGGTTATGATTGAATAAAAATTAAATTAATAATTCTCATTTAATGATATTTTATAATCGTTGATTTAATTTTAATTCAAAGATAAAAAAATTAATAAAATAAGTTTTTTTTATCAATATAAAAATAATAAGTCATAATTTCAATCTTAATAATTAATCTGATTACATTTAAAGGTTTATATATTTAATAAATTAGAACAACCAATTGATATAAATATGATCAATAATAAAAATCAAGAATATATCTTACACTAAAGTAAAATAATCTTGACCCTATTTATATATAAGGAAATGTTTTACTTACCACTATTTTGGACTTACCACCTTTAGTACCTGATTAATTATCATTGGATCAATTTGAAATCTAACGAATGAAAAAAAAAATAGGTGTTTTTGATTTCAAATTAATCTAACAATAACTAATAAGGTAATAAGAGTTGTAAGTCTAAAATGATGGTAAATATAATATATATATATATATATATATATATATATATATATATATATATTTACATCAAACTTTATACATGCCAAATTTTATCATTTTTATTTCTAAAAGAAAAAAAATATCATTTTAATTTACTTTCGTTCCAAACCTGAAATTTATTTGGCAAAACAAATTAATTTATTACTCTTTTTAATAATTATTTACAAATAGATAACAGTTTGGAATCAATTTACAGATCTATTGCACTCAGTCACGCCCAAAATAGGCGTGACCACTCACGCCCCCATAAAGTGCAACCAATGAGGCAAACACGTATTTTTTCGGCGTGACTAGTTGCCCCTAATTTGCCTTTTTTGGATGTGATCAACCCCTCCAACATGCCTACTTTGGGTGTGATTGCTCCATTTCTCCCTATTTAAATTTCTCTCCTCTCCTATCCACACTCGTCACAACTCATCTCCATCATAAACCCTTACTTTTAAATACATTATCACCTGCTTATTCATACTCTCTTTTGTGTATTTTGTTTTTATATTTAAAAATAAGTTCACATTCTGATTTTGTTCGGTTGTGCTATATTATAGTGGTAGGAAAGTGGAAGGTTGATGTGGTGTAGTTTTTGAAGGCAAGAAAAGGGCAACATGTATTAAGTGCAACTCAACAATTGAAGAACTGTATCAGAAAATTCGTCAAAAATTAGCTCTCGAAGGTAACAAATCTATCACTCTAGTCACGACAAGATAATAGTCCAAAGAAGAATACATTAGTTTCCAAGTTAAGGATGATGAAGACGTAGATATGGCAATGGAATAATTCGTCAACCAGTCAAAGAAAGATATCTTAAAGTTGTACATGGTTATTGCCAGAACAGAGGATGTTGTTTTACCCATGAAGTCAGTTGCGTTCAATTCTCCATATAATGCATCATCCTTTGTTGCTCCAGTTGTTAAAATGTCTGAGGAAGATGAAAATGAGACCCTACTTAGGTTATGGAAAAGGAGGAGGAGGATGACGATGATGAAAATATCTCAATGAAAGATCGTCTTCTTGCTGAGGATGTTTGTGCTTCGAACAATGATGAGGATCATGGTCTACCCACGACTCAAATCCAAGGATCAATGTCCATGGCAATTAGAGGAAAATTGTCTGTTAAGCTGGAATTTGCATCCAAAAAAAAGGCGCAGCTGGCAATCAAACGGAGCCTCATGACAATCAAGAAGTGTTTGTGGTTGTGAACACGCCTATAAAGTTAAGCATGAAATGTTGTGCACATGATCAAGGTTGCCCATGGGGGGAAGCACAATTGCTTGAATGACTACATTGCTCAGGATAACAAACAACTTGATGTTGATGTTATTACTTCACTCATACTAGGTACTTTTTTTGAGAGATTTTTCTATATGAAAAATTAATGGTATTTTGTTTGTCTTAAAG